CTCCTCAGCTTGAAGCAGCCACAGAAGAGACCCAACACCCCTTTTCTCTAAAGAATTCAGAGCCAAGATACTTGAGGGGGATATGGTAGGCAGTCAGATAGACATGAGCAAAATAAGGACAATGGGCCAACTGGAGGAGAAATGGACAGGACCTGGATATGCGCTTCTCACCACTCCAACTGCTCTGAAGCCCGCAATGGAGGAACCCATGTAGGGTGAACCTTCACATCTTGCCAGTAGGAGTTGGGACACCTATTGCTAATATACAGAACTAGAGGCCCGGTGCATGAAATTCATGCACGGGAGGGTTGTGTGTCCCTCAGCCCAGCCTGCACCCGCTCCAATCTGGGACCTCTCGAGGGATATCCCACTGGGATTGGGCCTAAACCGGCAGTCGGACATCCCTCTCACAATCCAGGACTGCTGGCTCCCAACCGTTCTCCTGCCTGCCTGCCTGATTGCCCCTAACCGCTTCTGCTTGCCAGCCTGATCACCCCCTCACTACTCCCCTACCAGCCTGATTGATGCTTAACTGCTCCCCTGCCAGCCCAATTGCCTCCTACTTCCCTCCCCTGCTGACCTGGTCAATCCTAACTGCCCTCCCTTGCAGGCCTGGTCGCCCCTGTCCTCCCCTGAAGGCCTGGTAGGCCCCAACTGCCCTCCCCTGCTGGCCCAGTCACCCCTAACTTTCCTCCCCTGCCAGCCTGGTTGCCCCTAACTGCCCTCCCCTGCAGGCCTGCTCACTCCCAATTGCCCTTCCCTGCAGGCCTGCTCACTCCCCACTGCCCTCCCCTGTCGGCCATCCTGTTGTGGCCATTTTGTGTGTCGGAGTGATGGTCAATTTGCACATCATCTCTTTATCATATAAGATTGTTCCATTCATTTTGGGAAGAAAGTCACATACTGGAACCTTTATATGTTGGGACCCACTGTTTGGGATGCAGGGATGGTTTCTTTACAGGTTGCTGCAGTAGCTTCCTGTGGCGAATGTCTGATTTGTAGTGGGTGTTCTAGTTGTTGTCTTTAAGTATCTGATAACTACAATATAAACTATTCTGATCATTTCACCCTCCCTTATAGCAATGGACATACTAAGCTGCTGGCTGGGTGGTTTCTGATATGTGGCTCTGCTCTAAATAAAATAGAAAGTGAAAAGGCTAAAATAAAAATAATAAGGAACTGGCATGTATTGAGTGCTCCCATACAGCAGGTGATGGTTAAGGCATTATAAACCTCATCAGCACCTACGAAGTAGGTGCTATGACTCCCCATTTCACAGCTGAGGACCAGGGACTGTTCCAGGGGTCATCCCGATGGTCAATGGTGGAGCAAGGCTCAAATCTGGGCAAGCTGGGCTAGAGGTTTTTTACCTTCTGGAATCAGCAGCTTTATAAAGCAATTTTATCATTTCGCATAAATCAGCAGGATCCCCTGGCTCCTAACACACTCCCTTCCTCTGTTTCAGGTAACACTGGGAGTTGACTGCACTGACTGGAATGAGAAGTGAGAAGAGATCATAAGGGAATGAGAAATGACTGCCTGAGGGGAACAATAAGGAAATATTAATTTGGGAAAGGCCCCAAAAGGAAGCCACCATGTGCACATCACGTGGGACTCTTCAAGGTGAAGGTGGTGCTCTCTCATCATCTTTCATGAGCTGGAGCTTCTGTGGGCACGACCTCTGCAGCCCCTTCCTGAGGGGATTTGGGGGAAAGACGGAATGGTTGCTGCAGATGTTAAAGAGGAGCCCGCTGACCGGGTGGTTTACTGCAGGGGAGTGTCCCACTGGAGGAAAAGAAACTGATGTTGGGAGGAATGCGCCAGGAATGGGAACAAGACATGTACCTGGGAAGGTGGCCGAGACCCCCAGGCCAAGTTTTGTGAGGATTCCTATTTTGAGAAGGTCAAGGTTGAAACTGTCTCTTACAGGATTCCTCTTCTAAACCCCAGGCTGCGCTGGCCTTTTCCAAGTAAGAGCTTCCCTTCTACCTACTTTTGTGGGAAAAATTCCAAGAGCCAGCACTGTGTTGATTCCCCTGGGCCTTCAAAGGTGAAGTCTGCCCTAAGGGAGCTCAGGCTCCTGGGAGGCAGAACGTCAAATGCTTATCAGCAAGGAGGCTCTGGGTTTGGACTCTGTTTTCAGTCCCAGGTTCCACCACAGGTAGATTACCCAACTTTTTTGTGCCCCAGTTTGCTCATCTGTGAAATTATATTCATCTCACAAAGTAGTGAAGTTCGTAATTAGAATAGATGTAAAAGCATTTAGCTAACTGTCTAGCTCAAGGTAAACTTGAGATAAAGGATTATTTTTGTTATAAGCATGAAGTGGAGGGAACAAAAATATAAACAAAAGTGAGGTAAGGGGGTGTGGAAACACAGAGGACGAGTGCCAACTCTGCCTGGAGTAGGAGCTCACTAAAGGAGTTATTAAAATCTGGGGCCTTGGTCCTGGTGGGAGGGGTTCTCAGAATGGGCATCTTGAGTATGTTTCCCAGGTGATTCTGCTATGCTATCTGCCCCTTAGCTACCAGAAAACCATTAATTATGCTTCTTCTTTTCTTAATCCTCACCTGAGGATATATTTTTTTAAAGGCTTTTTTAAAATATATATTCCATTGATTTTTTACAGAGAGGAAGGGAGAGAGATAGAGAGTTGGAAACATCGATGAGAGAGAAACATCGATCAGCCGCCTCCTGCACATCTCCTACTGGGGATGTGCCCGCAACCCAGGTACATGCCCTTGGCCGGAATCGAACCCGGGACCTTTCAGTCCACAGGCCGACGCTCTATCCACTGAGCCAAACTGGTTTTGGCCCGAGGATATTTTTTATATTGAGTTTTTAAAGAGAGGGAACTTTGTTTCAAGTCATTTCTTCAGGGTCACCCAGTCCTCACAACTCTGTCACTTACTTGTTAAAGCAATTGGTTGCTTCCTGCACGGGCCCTGACCAGGGCCCGTGCTGGAGTGGAGCCTGGTACCGAGGTACATGCTCTTGACTGGAATTGAACCTTGGAACCTTCAGTCTTCGGGTCAACACTCCATCCACTGAGCCAAACTGGCTAGGGCTAATTACGCTTCTTTCAAAGGAACACTTTTATTAGTAAAAAGTACACTGGGCCTTGGAAAATAGAAAAAAGAATTGCCCATAATCCCAATATCACAACACATTCATCATTAGCAACGGTGCCCCCATTTTTTCCTCATGCATCTTATTTCTGTTGTTTTAATAGTTTTAATAACAGTGCATGTCATAGTCATATTTTGCATTTTTGCCTTATTATGCAATCATAGGCATTATTAGTATGTTATTTTCACAATGGATTTTTATTTTTAACTTTTTTTTCTAAATAGAAGTGGCTTTTGTTTTCTTTTTTAAAAAATCCCTGACTGCACAGATTTATTTTTGTTTATATCAAATCTATGTAACTAGTAATCTATTGTTGGATACTTGTTTTGTGTGTTTGTGTATTTCTCTACCATGTGAATTGACCATAATTTACTTAAGCATTTAGCTATTTTTAGATATTTAAGTAGTTTTCTTCTTTTGTTTTTGCTATAATTAATAACAATGCTTTGAAAAATCTTCAGGCATATGGCTTTCCCCATATTTTGAATAATTTCCTGGAGTGGAAGCATTGGGTCAAAGGGCAGGGACATTTTATGATTCTTGATTTGTATCACCAAGCTGCTTTTTCAAAGGGTTTTTGTGCCTATCCATATCCTTCCAGCACAGTGCTGGGACCAGTAACCCAAAGAGGGTAGGTGGGGGTGGGAGTGGGGAGAGGAGGTAGTCTCCCTAAGAAGCTAGCAGCTTCTAAAGGGGACAGCATTAACAGCAGAGGAGAGAGTGAATATGAAGTGGAGGGAAA